TGTAACACCAAAAACAGGAAGGCGCAAGGGGAGCCTGGGGGAAAGTGCAGTGACTCATCCCCAGCCAGGAATCCTACACAGACTCCCCAGTGCTGCCCGTGGGGAGAGGAGGCCCCAGGTGCTTACTGCTCCCAAGTGTAAGAATGCATGGAGACCAGGGGCCCACTGGCCACTGAGGGCAGCTGCTGAGGGGTCTTGTGATGTCACCCCATCTTTTTCTGCCTCTCGAATATCATTCCTAGTCATTTGTGCCCATGGCACCCCTCTGGCTGTTCCTGAGGGGTGAACTGGAGGGGCAGCAGGTGCTCACGCTGCCCCAGTGAGTGCTCAGGCTTGGGCCAAGGGTGTGGCCACTGGCTGGGCCATCGCTGCCTGGTGACCCCAGCTTGTCTGAAAGTCCTGTGCCAAGGGCAGAGGTCTGTAAGGTAGCGTGGGGGTGGGGTGCTGGTCACGAGGACCCGAGGTCCCCCTCTGAGTGCTTGGCACCAGCCCCTGGCCCAGTGGACCAGATGCTTTCCTTTATGCACAGAGCACTGGCCGCCTGGGCAGCAAGCCCAGAAGACCCATACAGCTGGCCCTTGTCTCCGTTTTCTCCCTGACGCTTTTTGCTGAAAAATCAATTCTGCAAACCCAGCTGGCGCTGGCTGGGAGCAGCTGGGGATGGTGCAGCCGACGCTCCAGCAGATGTGGCCCTGACACCCCCGTCCTGCCCGAGTGAGGGGGTAGCAGGAGCAGGACGGGGCCAGCCTGGGGGAAGGCTGAGGTTGCAGGGAGGGAGGCTGCCTCCCTGCCTGGTCCCTGCTCAGGTCACCCCCACCCCACGTCCTGCCCAGGGCCCAGTCGGTGCTCACAGAGCCCTTGCTGGGCGTCCACCCACTATCCTGAGCCCCCAGAGCGGCCCTCAGACATCCCCTTCCAGCCCTGTCAGAGAGGACAGGGGGCTGAGGGCAGCAGACCCCATCCCAGCGGGGACCTCTGCCCTGCCCACCCCAGAGCCCCATCCACGCTCAGCCAGGGGGCTCAGCACTGGAGGGGCATAGCTGCATACACACACACACACACACACACACACACACACACACACACACACGCACACATATGGGCAGCACACTGGCTCCAGGCTCCGACTCCCCTGAGGACCCTGTGTCTGCCTTGGCTGCTCTCTGCGTGAGCCCTCCCTCGGGTCCAAGCAGAGTGAGTGAAGCAGCCGCCGCAGCCCATAGTGCGAGTCCTGCCAGTCCGCGGACAGAACGTCCACATCAGTGCCCACGTTTGCTAACTGAAACACATCCAGAGGGTTTTTCACATTTATCCAAAAGCCTTCCCCAGACTAATGTGGGTCTTTCATAAAAGAAAAGGGCGGACTTGAACTTCTGGAAAGCTGGGAGACCTGTGCCCAGACCCCTGTGATTCCAGACCCGTTTGGGGATAAGATGGTGGAATTGCAGCTGGAGTTGTAAGGAACTTCTGTGCGGTTGGAGAGAAGGAGTCTCTTATCTTGTCAGGCTTCCCCGCCCCCGCACAGCCTTGTGGCTGCTGCCAGGGCCCAGAGTCCGCCAGGGGTCCGAGCGCCTGTGCTGAGTCATACACAGGCTGCCCATCAGCCTATTGGCACCCGCAGTCGGTTGATGCTGGGTTTCCTACACCGACGCCTGCTGGCGAGTGTCGGGAGCTTGCCTCTTCCCTTCCAACCTTCTCCTCATGCTCTGGTCTCGTGCTGTGGTCGCGGCCTCCATTGCACAGATGGGGAAACCAAGGCACAGGGCCATGAAGAGTGGGGACCCACACGCTCTGCCTCCTGTCCCCACGCCGGGGGCCTTGCTCTGAGGGCTGCTGGGTGGGCTGGAGGCCAGAGCAGAGCACGGCATCTCCCTCATGCCTCCCCCACAGCCCCAGACCCTGGGAGTCCCCTTTCCAGCTCCTCCAGCCACACCCACAGCCTTGGCACCAGCAAAGCGGGCTACAATTTCCTCCCAATGCATCCCACTCCCTTCCCGCTGTGGTCTAGCCCCCCGTGTGTGCTCCCGGGGCCCAGAGGCAGAGGCTCCTCTGACTGTCAGGGCGTGGGGCCCTGAGCAGACGCCGGGTGGGCTCATGGAAGGGATCCACAGGCTTGGTTGTGGGGGGATAGGGGGAGATGTAGGGTCTGGGGATCTCGGGCTCCTGGTTTGGGCCCTGGAGCCTTCCAAGGGGGCTCCAGGAGGCAGCTGGCTGGCCTCATGGGGTGACCCTCAGAACAGAGATGGGCTGGGTGGCCTTCAGCAGGGAAGCGAACCCACCTGCTGGGCGGGGCCAAGGGCAGTGGTCTCAAGCACAGTGAGGCGGGGAGCACCCATGGGGTTGCCCCCAAGACCACAAGCCACTGGCTGCACCTCCAGTGACCTGCACAGCACTTGAGAGCCAGGAGCCCAGTGGGAGACCCCAAGGGCTGGCACCTGGGCTGGGAGCTGCACCCTAATGTGACCAGGCAACGTCAGGGCTAGCGGCAAGGGGACTGGGTGTGGGGGGGGGTTCACTTTAGGGACTGGTGACTAGACCCCTTTCCTCCTTGCTGCTAGTGGGTTTGCCCTGTTGGTTTCCGTTGCTGTGGGGTGCTTCGTTGTGTAAGACACACCAGCTCCCCCTGAGCGTTCACAAGACGATGTTTCTAGTCTCTGATCATCAGGAGAGCTGCTGCCAACCTGCCTGCTCCTTCCCTGTGGGTCTACGTCTGTGGAGGGGGAGGGGGGCCAAAGCGGGGGTACTGTGGCTACAACTGAGTCCACCTGCCCGGGAAAGGCTCATCAGACAGGCATCTGCACATGGTGGACCACAGACTGTCCCAGCAGCACCCTATGGGCACTGGGAGCATGGCCGCAGAGGGAGCATCACTGCAGAGGGAAAAGCTAGGAGCATGGCCTCAGAGGGAGAAGCTGGGAGCACAGCTTCCCATAAGCGGGGCGGGGGGGGGGGGGGCATAGAGGGAGAAACAGGAAGCATCACTGCAGAGGGAAAAGCTAGGAGCACGGCCTCAGAGGGAAAAGCTGGAAGCACAGCCACAGAGGGATAAGCAGGGGAATGGCTGCAGAGGGAGAAGAAAGGGAGCATCACTGCAGAGGGAGAAGCTGGGAGCATGGCCGCAGAGGGAGAAGCAAAGGGAATGGCTGCAGAGGGAGAAACAGGGAACATTACTGCAGAGGGAGAAGCTGGGTCCACAGGTGATCAGAGCTGGCAGACCTTCAGAACTGTCCTGAACTGAGCCAAACAGCAGATCTTTCTACCAATGTCCACAGGTGGGCTTCCCAGAGGAGAAGCAGCTCTCCCCGGCTGAGGACCACACCCAGAGCGGACCCAGCTGTGAGCCATAAGCAGATAACACTACTAGCAGCTGGGGAATGAAACCTGGATACCAGAGCAGACGCAGCTGAGAACCAAGGTGCCCCAGGTAGCCTGCCCCCGTTCCCGGGGCCGGTGTGTGTTGCGGGGCGGAACATGACCCCACGGAGTTGTCCCAGGCAGCCTGCCCCTGCTTCCTGAGGGGAACACGACCCTATGGAGGTGCCCCAGACAGCCTGCCCTTGCTCCCAGAGAGGACACGACCCCACAGAGATGCCCCGGCAGCCCGCCCCATGCATCAACTGGATTCACTTTGCAAGTTCATCCCATTTGGGAACACTCTTCAGGACGATTCTACATGGTGCTCTTTCTTTCAGGAATTCGGAGTCCGAGTCAATTTCACAAACTGTGTTGGGAGGGTGTCCTCCTCCTTGTCCTCTCAAGTGTGTGTGAAATGAGTTCTTTCTTTTTTAAGCATTTGTTGAGGCTAATGATACAAGCCATCTAGACTTGCAATTTCTTTGCAGAAGTGTTTCTAAGTTCAATTTCCTTAAGGTTATAGAGATAACTCAGACTCTGCATATTCCCTGTCAGTTTGGACAAGTGGCTTTTCACTTCGAGACTTCTGGTGTCCATGACCTTGGGGGCAGCCTCTCTGTTTTCATCTGTCTGGCAGACTTTGATCAATTCTATTAATTTTTTCCAAGAACCAACTGTTGACTTTGTTGGTCCTTTGCCACCTGATTAATTCCCTCTCGTTTGTTCCTTCCGCCCGTCGACGACCTCAGACTTAATCTGTCATTCTTCGTCTAGGTGCTCAGGTCCTGCTCTTCAGGGCTGCTCACACTCCTGCTCAGGCTGTGCTTTCTTCTTGTGTGTCGCCCTCTGGGAGAAACAGAACAAAGGCAAACAACCAAAGACAGAAAGGCCAAGAACAGCCCAGAATTGAGTGGAGACACAAAGCCCCCAGCTCCAGAAGGATGATGAGTTCTGGGAGAACACCCACGGAGGAGCAGGGGGTCTGGAAACCCGGCCAGGACACCGCGTGGGACAACGGAGGCCCAGACGATGGAAGGGCATGTGTGCAGAGGGAAGGCAGCTCCCAGCCAAGAATCCTGTGCCCCGCAGACGCCTAATCAAATGTGGACAAAACCAAGGCGTTTCCCCATAAGCTCTCTCAAAGGGGCGCTTGTCCCCAGTGCCTCCCCTGGTGCAACCATGTGGGAAAGACCGCTGGCGGGTGAGCTCCGGGAGCTCGGACCATGGGCCAGTGCAGGGTAGGGGTGCAGGACCTGAGGGCGCCAATGAGCCTTCCAGGAGAACCCGTGAAAACTGCCGGCTGGGATGAGGATGACCATTTGGTCCCGAGCTGCTGTGAGGAAAGGACCACTCTGCTTCACGAGTGTCTGCGAGCTGGCAGACCAGAGGTCCCTGCAGCCTTCCGGGCCTTCCAGAACTGTCAAGGCCACGGCATCTGCTCTTGCCCCAGGCAGGCCCCGGGGAGGCACATGAGGGAGAGAGGGGGCCGCGCCCTGGCTGCCCCACGGCAGCAGCTTCTGAGCCTGGACCCACTATCCCCGCCAGGACCGCTGACCCCCAGGGTTCCCCAGGGCCACCCATGGCAGCCAGGACTGGGGCCTGCCAGAGTCCCTGGGAGGCGAAGCCACTGAAACAGACGCTGGGCCTGCCAGCTGTTTCTGGGATTTTTATTTCTTTAAAATAATTCATACAAATGGTTACAGTCACAAACATGATTTTAACCCAAATATTGCTAGCCTACCACATCAGCAGGACGGCACCCGCACAGGCCGGACGCTGGGCCCCACGTCCCCGGGACAGACGCCAACGGCCGGAGCGTACTGTGGCCCAGGCGCGGCCTCGTCTCTGGCAGCCGTCTTCGTTTGGAACAAGGGGATTCATGCCAAAATTAGGAAAAACAGCCTTTGTTTTGTTTTTCTAAATTATTCTAAAAATAAGACAAGCAGGTAGAAAAAACAATGCACTGTGTGGCGTAGAAAGAAAAACGGGAAGGATTCGTTGTCCTGAGAAGTTTGCCAACTGCCTCGTTTCAGGGCGCGTTCCAACACACAAGGGACACAGTCTGAGACCGACCTGCTGAACGCTCCCTCAGCTTTCTCTGTCGACAGCTACGCAAACAAATCCTTTGTAATGTTCTAAAGACTGTACACAGACAAGAACATCCATGATAGAGTTAACTACTAACTTCTTCTGCTTAACGAGGACGCAAAGGACACAGGACAGCGGCTGGCCCTTGGGACAGGACGACTACGGCTGACGCGGGGAGGCCGGCGCCACCTCTGCCCGCCGGGCGCCTGGACAGTCTCTGGAGCGCCGCAGCCACCGCAGGCACCGCCTCTGCACATGCCTGTCCGAGGGCACCGCCCGGCCCGCGCTCCGCCCGGGCTACAACTGGTCGCTCGCGTGGTCTCTATCTGCCTCGGGCTTGACGGTCTGGCCAGGAGAAGGGGCGTGGGGCGGGTGGGACACGGGGGGCAGGCCGTGGGACAGGGACATGGCGCTGGGGACAATGCCTTCCACTGCTGTCGGGATGCCGCTGGGGGCCACGCCCACCACACCTGGTGGGTACCTGCTGGGAGAAGGGACGTCGTGTGAGGCTGGCGGGGTTCCTCCTGTGGCCGCGGCTCAGGCCTAGGATGGCTGGGGGCTGCTCCCAAAGGCCCTGCCTGGTGGGACCACCCCCTCCAACTCTTCCCTCGCCTTACCCCCCACCCCCAGGTCTGACATGTCCAGCTCTCACCCCCAGACCTTCTGGTCCATGAGGCCCACAGGAGCACGCCCATCCAGGAAACCCCCCACCCCCAGGACCCCGCCTACAGTCATCACAGAAGTGCTGTGTCCCCTGAGCTCACCCCACCCACTCACCTGTAGGCGGCACCGTTAAGCTCAGGGTGCACGACAGCAGGATCCATGCTGGCCCAGTGGGTGGCAGCAGTCAGGTGGTCCTTGTTGACACAGTTTTTCAGGCTGTCAGGGATGCGGCCTAGAGACGCAGCGGGGATGCGAAGGGCAGCACCATGTTACACGTCAAACAGCTGCATCTGGGAGTGCGGTGGCTCAGGGGGGGAGGGGTGTGCGCAGGCTGCAGGGTCCCCACGGCTGGACCTCCCTCCCTCTCGCTCTCTTCCCCTTGTCTGGATGCGGTCCCCTGACAGCTCAGAGACCCCCCCAGGCCCGAGCAGTGCCCTCAGCTCCCCCGTGGCCCATGTCTACCAGGCCCAGGGATTTCAGGGAACAGCAGACAAGGTCCAGCCCAGCTGAACCAGCACAGCCAGACTTGGGGTAAGAAAGGGCATACATGCTGGATTCCCACAGGGTAACCGTGAGCAAGTGTCCTAAGTGTGACGCACCAGGGGGACCAAGGGCTGCGTGGGGAGACCATGTGTAAACCGCGTGCTGATCTTGCCCCTGGGGGGATGGCATGGGGTGGGCCCTCTGGTAGGGCTGCCTGGCGATGCAAGCCTAGGGAGGAGGCTCGGTCCTGCTGGCCCCCCTCACCTGTGATGGCTCTCCGGATTTCCCGGGCGGCCTCCTCTCGCATCTCGATGGATGCCTGCTCGCTGTACCAGGCTGCGTGGGGGGTGCAGATCAGGTTGGGTGCGTCCTTTAGGGGCCCCTGGCTGAAGCTACAGACGGTACGAAGCAGGTCAGGGTAGGGCAGAGGGTACCTGACCCCGCCTGGCACCACAGTCCACCCTGGGGTCAGACCAGGGCACCCCAGGTGGGTCACACTGGCCATGAGCCCGGGGGGAAGGAGTCAGCAGCAGGGAGGAGTCCCAGCCTGGGGTATAGCACCCCAGCCCTCCCAATAGGGAGGGCACCAGTCCCCACAGTGACAGGCTCCCAACAACAGGACTGGCTGCTGCCCCAGACGGGCTTCTCAGCGGTGGGGTCCTTAGAGAAGTGGCCGCACTGGGGTCGGCGGACCCCTGCACCGGGGCACCCCCAGACAGTCTACATGAAGCACAGGTCCGAGCCCCCCCACCCCGTCCCCTGCCCGCAGCTGGACCTCAGGCTGGACCCGGAGCCCTAGGACGGGGCCTGCAGACTGCAGGGGGGCATCAGGCCCGGCTTCATGCCTGACCGGGGCCAGCATGGGCTGTGAGCCAGCGCGAGGGCCTGGCGTGGGAGGCGGCAGCCAGGAATCACCCAGGTGCTGCCAAGAGGCACCTGAAGGGCTCGGACTCGTGCACGTCTAGGGCGGCACCCCGGATCCGCCCCTCCTTCAGGGCCTGGGCCAGGGCCTTCTCGTCCACCAGGCCACCCCGGGCCGTGTTCACCAGGAAGGCGCCTTGTCGCATCTGGGAGGAGACAAAAACAGCGTGGCAGTGAATCAACACAGGCCTCTGCACTTAGCCCCCGCCAACACCCAGGGGACGGGACTGGCAGGGAATCGAAGCAGACAGGGGCTGGCAGCAGGACGAGGGCTCAGGGGTCTGTGCAAACCGTGCCCCACCCTGAGGATGCCTGGCTGGGCCACAGGCGCCAATACGCAGCCTGCCTCCTCCTGTTCCTGGCAGTGAGGTGTGGGCTGGGGCATAGGGTGTCCTGGCCCGGCCCCTAGGATGCACTGGAGAGCCTAGAAAGGGTGTGGCATGTCTAGGATGCACTGTGGCCAGGAGTGAGGGACACAGGCCCTAAGACAGCTTCCTCAGTGCAGCAGCCCCACCAGAGGCCCCTGTTTCCAAAGCTGGACAGCAGCTTCATCTCTCTTTGCTAAAGGCCCTCAGAGCTGCCCTGAAGGCGCTCCCCTTCAGGCTCCGTGATAATGGGGGCTTCCCCTGCGCCAAGGGGATTGAAGGGACAGACTCCTAGAGACCAAGTAAGCTGCCCCTACCTTGGGGCTCAGGGCAGCTCCTCCTCGGTCAGCTCTCCCATCCTGGTTTCACAGCTGGTTCTTGGCAACAGCACCCCAGGGCCATGCCCACCCTGGCCCTCTGTCCACACCCACTGATGGCAGATAGATAAGACCCCAGGTGCCAGGCCTCATGCTCCCTAAGGGGGCAGGGACCGTGGTGTACAGCACACAAGTACAGGGCAACCGGCAATCGGTGTGCAAGCATGCACACACACACGCACACGGATGCGCACACATCCCCACCCCCGCAGGCTACACCCAGGACAAGGCCCGAGACCCTGAGCGCAGCATGTGCTGCAGCCGTGGGGACGCCGGGAGCCTCGGCACAGCTCCAAGTGCAGGCTGGTCTGCAGTGGGCTCCCCAGCCTGCAGGTGCACCCACCTGCTTCACGGTGAAGTCGTTGATGAGGTGGTGGTTGTGCTCATTGAGGCCGCAGTGCAGGGTCACACAGTCACTGTGGAAAAGCAGGTCCTGCAAGGTGCTCACCCGCTGCAGCCCCAGCGCCCGCTCGGTGCCGTCCGACAGATACGGGTCGTAGAAGAGCACGTTGAAGCCGAAGGCCTTGGCCCGGAGCGCCACCGCCTGCCCCACGCGGCCTGACAGGGCAAGACTTGGCGTCAGCACGGCCACGGACAGAGCAACACCCACACAGCCTGTATCCCCACGGACCTAGGGCTGACACCAAGGGGAGCGAGGCCGTGTCTGCCCCGGGGCCCCTGCCCGGCCGTGCGGTGGACAGGGCATTTGGAGAGGAGGGCAGGGGGCTGGAGGGGCTCCCTGGGGAGTGTACGGGGTGACAGCCACAGCATCGCAGGTGTGGCCCCTGCACCTGGGAGGGTGCAGGCCAGATGGCTCACAGCCCCGTACCTGAGGAGGCAGGTGCCAACCTGGACACTGGGGGCCACCAGGAAGTCAAGTGCTGGGAGGTGGTGGCCAAGGTTCCAACATCTCAGGGGGCTCCCCCCAACCCCTGGACCTTGCTCTGAGCAAGAGGATGCTGACAAAGAAAACAAGCAGGAGATGGAATGGTCCCATCTGCACCTGCCTGCCAGAGAGCATCTGCCATAAGGGCAGGGTCCCCAAGGCCCCAGGGAACCGCCTTGCCCATGAGTGACCCCAGGTGAGGCCAGAGTGGAGCCATCCTGCCAATTCTACCCAAAACATGAACCCACAGCACCGTGAGGTCAAGTGCCAGCTGTCTCCTCCTGTCTACCTCCCAACACAAGCTGGCAGACGGCACCTGACATGTACCCAGACCCAGACCACGGTGTAAACAGTCGCAAAATGGCGCCCTGGTGTCAGAGTAGACTGAGCATCTGACTCCTGACCACAGCTTGGGCCACGACCTCAGGGTGGGGAGATGCAGCCCAACCAGGTCGGGGCTGCACTGAAGTCAGACCTGCTGAGTCTCCCAACAACACTGCTTCAGGAGGCCAGGTGGCCCCTAAATCCAGCCAGCCAGGCAAGCCCAGCTCCCCACCAGCCTCCAACAGCCCCACCCCAGGCCCCAAGGTGCAGGGTGCCCCCGGGGACCAGTGCTGGGGGCCGCGTGCCCATGGACACCGAGACAGTGAGCTCTCCTGGACAAGAAGCCCATGTTGTGGACAGCCGTGGCCCTGGCGTCTTATACTAAGGCAGGCGTGTACCTGTCAGGTGTCCCCCACGTGGCCCAGTAGGGCACAAGTGGGGTAGGGGCAGGCAAGGGGCCCCCCAGAGGAAGGGCAGGAAGCAGTGCAACAAGGGGCTGCTAGTGAGTTCCCACCCCATCCACCCCGGGCCTCCTAGGTGCACAGATCTCAAGTTCAGAGATGGAGACGGACCACAAACATGGCAGAGGAGAGGGCTGTCACCGACCCCGAATGGCTGCCCTCACCACGGGTGAACCAGCTCGCTCCACCCACAGCAGGGCTGGGGCCATCTGGCCCTCACCTGAAAGCCAATTCCCCTCAACCATGGGGTGGGGCGGGGGGACGGCAGGGGGAGCATGTCCGAGTGTGGTGAGGACCCGTCAGTGTGTGAGTGACAGGCATGAGTGCATGGCTGTATGCACAGGAATGGGATCGGGGCCCTGCCGCCCGTGTGTGTGTGATCCACACTCAGCACTCCTGGGCAGACAGGTCAGCCCCATTGAGGCCCTGTGCAGGAAGACTATCCGGCAGCCTCACCAAGCCCTGGCTCACGGGCTCTGAGCCCCTGCAAAGGGTGAAGACGGAGCTGAACTCACCCAGTCCAATGATGCCCAAGGTCTCCCCGCGGATCCTGGCAGCTCCAGAAGCCACTTCCCGGATCTGTTCCACGCTCTGGACCCGCGTGCCCTCCCGCAGCGCCTGGTGCAGCCACGTGGTCCTGCGATACAGGTTCAGGATGTGGCACATGGTCGAGTCGGCCGTCTCCTCGACAGACGCCGCTGGCACATTGCAGACAGCGATGCCTGAGAAACACAAGACACATGGGGGCGGTCACCCAAGCCAGTCCTGGCACTCCCCCCTCCCCACAAAAGATCGGACCATGAGACAAATGCAGGGAACACACCCCAAGCCACCTGGAGAAGCTGCCTGTAGGTCCAGCAAGTAGACAAGATAGGACTTAAGAGAGGCCACCTGGGCAAATGCCAACACCTGGGTCTGCCCTGCCTGAACCGCTGGCCACTGGACCTTCCAGGAAGGGGTCATGGGCTGGTTGGCATCAGGAGCGTTCCACAGCCTCACACACCCACACAGGCCCCACCCAGCCTGCCTTCGTTGGCTGCCAGGCCAACTGGGACCCAGCATTGGACAGGGTGGTCCCATTCTCCCAGCTCCCACAGACCCATCAGCCCCAGCAGCCACAGACAGAGAGCTGGTCCAGGCTTCTCCTCTGCACTGAGCTTCGCTGGCTCGTCCCGTGCCCGCATGAGCTGGTTACCACCGGGGGCCAACGGTTCGCCAGGGCCTCGTGGTCCAGAGGTGGACCCAGCCCCTCCACGTTTCTATGCGCCTCTCCCAAGCCTGGCCCCTTCTACCCTCGTTCTGCCCTGTCCTGCCATCTCCTCGCTCTGCCTGGGGACTAGTCACCTCCCTTGCCAGAAGAAGCTCTGATGCTCCTTGAGCTATTCCAAATGCCAAGACAATACTCAACACACCCACAGGGCCCAGGGTGAACCTCTACTCCCTTCCAGAAAAAAACTCAGCCTGCTGGGAAATCCAAGGACAGGTGGGAAGCAGGAGAACCGTGCTATGCCATCTCCTAGATTTGGGGACAAAACTGCTGGTGGAGAGCGCAGACAAGGTCCTGGGACTTCTAAGTCCCCACCTACCAGGGCTGACCACAGGGCATGGCCCTGCCTGTCCCAGGTGCCGGAGCAGAGCCCTGGCTTGTAACATCACAAAACAGGCAGACTTGGTACACAGGGACAAAGGCCTCCAGGAGCCCACGGGGCAGAAAGCACGCAGGCCATGGTTCCCCACAGCTGCAGGCGCCTTCCTTGGGAGGCTGCCCAGGGACGGGCGACAGTAGGGCCAGAGGGCTCCACCATGTGAGCCCGTGCTGGGCAGGGGCTGCCCATGGTCCTGGGCAGGTTTACTCTACACAAGCAGAGTAAACCAAGTCTGTGGCAGACACCGACACCAGGCCACTCTGACTCCAGCGCTGTCAGCAGCCTTCCGGCTGAAAGGACGGGCAAAACCAGGCACCGGGGGCACCCCTTGCAGTTGCAAGCCCTGGGCACACGCTCACCTCACCAGGCCTCAGCTGCTACAGACACACAGGACGTGCATGCCCCCCACAAGGCTTCCTTTGAGAGCTGTGCTGACCTGGGTGCCAGCATGGGGGCCGCACCCCGACAGCAGGCTCACAAGTCGCCTCCAACCAAACTAAGGGCTGCAACGCAATCCTTGGTGTAAAGCGAAGCCAGCCCACAAGGGGTTGCTGGGATGCAGCCGCTAAGGGAAAGGCTGCGCACACCCTACCTAGATCCCCAGCTGACTTGATGTCGATGTTGTCGTAGCCGCTGCCAATCCTGACAATGACACGCAGAGCCTTGAACTTCTCCAGGTCCTCCCGGGTCAGCGCGATGGTGTGGTACATCAGTGCTCCCACTGCCTCGTTCAGCACCTGCCGTCAGGACAGCAGCCACCCAGTCAGACGCTGGCCCTCAGGGACCAAGCCTGGCTGCCTGTGGGCTAGCCTGCTATCCCCAGGCTCCAGCTGCCCCAAACCAGCCCAGACAACCCCCTGGGGGGTGGAGGGGAATGCCTGCTGCCCCAAACCAGCCCAGACAACCCCCTGGGGGGCCTGGGGTGCTGCAAACGCTCCCCCACCCCCAGCCTGGAGGCAGGCTGGGACAGTCCTTAGAGGCCCACAGTTCCCACGGGTCTCCTCCCCTAACTGCACTGCAGGCGGCCTTCCCAGGGCAGGAGCCCCTGCTGGGATATCGGGGTGGGCAACTCCGCTGGCTCTGGGCTCGACTCCCCAAGCAGCGCAGGGTCCCGCCCAGGGGACACCACTGTGTGTGTGCGGGGGGAGGGGAGAAGGAGGGGTGTAGGTTCACCTTCCCTGTGGGCACCGGTGAAACAGGATGCTGAGGACAAAGAGCATCCAAAACCCCCAGACCCTGTGAGGGTCACGCTGTCGCACTATGGGGCGGTGGGTGTGGAGGGGGCAAACAGCAACAAATGGTCCCAGCACAAACACACACAGGGTCCCCAGACAGCAACGTGCCCCTGGGGAAGGGCCGGCCTCCGGGTCACTGTCCCCACCCACCCACCCACCCCACGTGCTCCCCTGCAGCTTCCACAAACGGGGGTGAGCTCCACGACAGCCCTGGACGCCTGCCCTGGTGTCCATGGGTCTCTGTGGCCTAGGTGACCTTGCGAGAAGCCCCACGAGCAGGTGAGTATCCTGTCTCCCCAGGGTTTGGATGACATGTGCTGAGGACACTCTGTAAAACTGTCCAGTGGGGAAAACCCTCCCCAAAGTTGAGGACCCACCCACAGCCCCGCCCCCACAGGAGTCATAACTTGAATTCTCCATGGGTGAGGACAAGCCCTGAAAAGGCAGGCCCATGCGGAACCCACGCAGACCATACCCACACCCCGCACAGGGCCAGGTGGAGCAGACCACGCACTATGCCCCAGGCCCGGTCAGGTCGGTGCAGACCACGCCCCACACTGCTGCTGCACTGTCCCCAGCATGCACAGCAACCGCTGCCCCCACCCCGGTGCCTTGGAAATGACTGAAGCCCCCAGGTGTGCCCCAGCCAGGCTGGGGGGGCCGGTTGGGGTCACCCAGCTTCTCGGGGGCTTGTCCCGGGTCCAGCAGGGCGGTGGGCCTGCGCCCCAGGGCCATGAGTGCTGCCTTAAAGGGCTGTAGTGTTGCACCTGGGACACACTCTGATGACAGCCAGACGCTGGCAGAGAGCGTGCACTGTCCAATCTCCCGGCCCAAGGGCAGGGGACCCAGGACGCAATCTATGACCTGTCATGGTTGAGGGGCGGGCTTTACTCGCCCCTGGCGGATACAACAGTGAGCCTTACAACCGAGGACACGTCACATTCAGCAAAATGCTACAAGGCATCTATAACCCGGTGTGGGCCACCCCGTCCTCCTCCACACAGGGGTCTCAAGGATGGCGACGGAGGCCCGTCCAACAGCAGGTGAGGGAGGTTGCCCCAGGGGCTGTGCGCAGGCTGCTGGCCCACAGGCCCCATGCGTGAGCCAGGGGCACCACACCCCTCCCAGCCCGCATGTGGGTTGATGTGCTGAGTGGCCTAGAGCAGTGTCTCATGTGGGGTATATGGCCTACAGTGAGCTGCCCACTCTTCCTCTCATCCCCTTCTCCCCAAGAGCTGAGTCTCTGTCAGACAAATGGCAACCCAAAATGCAGACAACTCCCTCTGAGGCTGGCATGACCTCCCTTCCCCTTCTAATGGCAGATGGGGCGAGGAGCACTTGTCCTTAGGGGACCACACAAAATAGGTGGAGGAAGAGACAGTTAAATAGCGGGACAGAGGTGGCATAGGACCCTGGTCCTGGGAGCACTGGCGGGCCTGACGTTAAGGGAATGGTTGGGTGTTGCTGGCACCTGCTAGGATTCCTACACTGAAGATTCTAGAAATCTCAGCTCCTGTTCCTGGGGTCCAAAGACCCCAGGAACCCTGGCTCCTGATCCCGCACTGAAGATCTCAGGAACCCCAGCTCCTGATCCTGCACGGAAGGTCCCAGCAACCCCGGCTCCTGATCCCACACTGAAGATCCCAGGAATCCCTACTCCTGATCCCACACCAAAGATCCCAGGAACCCCAGCTCCTGATCCTGCACCGAAGGTCCCAGCAACTCCGGCTCCTCATCCCGCACTGTAGATCCCAGGAAGCTCAGTCCTGGATTCCTGGGAGGACATCAAGGCCGCACAGGCATGGACTCCTGGTACCTTGACTGGACCTGGTGTAGGTGGGGTGCGGGCCCACATGGGACAGCTGAGTGGTGGTGAGTGCCCACAGGGCAAAGTGCATGGGGACGGCAGCTAGTAAGCGGACACAGCGAGGGCCTGAGATGGAGGGGAGAGAGCAGACCTTGCTGACAAGACCCAAGGAAGACCCCCTCCGGCCACCCTGTGCTGAGCTGTGTGGACTGGAGAGGAAGGTGGCCATGGCAGTGGGGGGCGAGTGGACAGATTCGTCAGTGCCTACTGTGGGCAGACAGAGCCGTGCACTGGGAACAGAAAGATGCATCCAGGCCAGCATGAGCACCAGCAGCCCTGGACTCAGGGACAGAAAGACTGTAGAGAGGAACTCTCCAGAGGTGAGCCTGAGTCTCTGACCTGGGCAGCGGGACACATGTGGACCTCCTCCTGAGATGACCATGGGGAGAAGGCTTAGCTGTGAACAGGCGAGAAGGAAGAGCCTCAGAGCACAGGCCAGCGGTGTGCATGCAGATGGCAGCCTTCTATCTATCTTGAGCACTGAACCACGGCAGTAGTCGGTCTCCAAATCACAACTTTGTCCCATGTTCCACCCTGACACGGACAAGCCATGATTCTTCCGGACGTTCCCTACTGCTAGGGCTTCTGGACTGCTTCCGCTGTTGGCTGGGCCATGATAAAAATGCATGATTTCCTTGAGCTTGAGTCCATAGGGTGGAAACTAGCGGGTGTGCTGGAGATCCATCTGTGAGGCTCCGGGGATGGCCACCAGCTGCCCCTAGCAGTATACCCACCCTCGGGGATGGACTGCACAGCCCTGGGTGGGCCGGAGAGCAAAACCCCACACGTGGTGTATACAAACTGGCATCCGTTGTTTTCACCTTAATTTGCATTTCTGAGGATGACTTGCCCACATAAGTCTCTTGATAAATTACTTTTTCACATCCTAGTTGTTTATCTGCCGAGCATATTTTTAATCACATGGAACCCAGTGAAGCATTCTCAGAACTGGGACCAGAACCCACTTGGTGGCTGCCTAACCCTGACCCTGGGCCAGGGAGGCCCCACTCAGCTGCAGGTTGAAAGCCTGCTGCATGGGCAGCTCTGTCCAGAGGGACGAAGGCCTGGGCCACCGTACTGCTCCAGCCAGCCGCTAGGTCCACTGTCCTTGCAGGTTCCTCTTATTCCTGGCTGTGACTGCAAAGTGGCCAGGATAGCCCCAAATATCACAAAGACCTCCCAGGGAGGAAGTCGGCAGGAATCCCTAGGGCCCAGTCTGTTTCTGTAAGCTGGAAACCAGCAAATGTCCATTCACATCGCCCTCTACCAGCTGTGTGACCAGGTGGGTGACCTGTGTCCTTAGCCCCAGAATGGGGTGCATGGGGCCCACCTTGCAGAATGAACCCAGAGCCCTGGGTATTCCCAGTGGTAGCAGGGCCTGAGGGAAGCCAGGTCTGGCTGGCCAGAAGGATTCCTACTGGTAGGCCCTCACCATAGCCCACCACACCATCCCAGAGGTGGGTGTCCCACTCACATCCTTCACACACAGACACGCATGCGTCCCGTGACTTCTGTAGATTTTACTTACTTCCTGGGTCATTTTGTGCAGCTTCAGCTCAGAAAAATGTGGCACAGGGCCTCCAACACACTTCTCTATGGTTCCAGACACTCCCCTGTGGCAAACAGCCACGTGCAGGTCCTTCAGGTCTGCACAGCCATGCCGAAAGCCCACCAGAGCCAATGTGGCCATGCCCCCTGCAGAGCAGGAGCGGTGCCTCACGCCTCTAGGTGTGCCCATGGGGCGGGGACAATGTTATCTGCTTACCAGTCACTCTGTCTTTGCCCAAACGCCCCCTCTGTCACCCACCTTCTTCTGGGAGTCTGATCATCCGCCATCAAGCCCTGGCCGTTGCAGGGACTGCCACTGTCCACCCACTTCTCATATGTTCTGTTCTTTCTTTAGCCACGATTGTTTCTGATTGCCTCTGAATCAAACCACTTTCCCTGTACGCGGCCCCATTTTGTGCACCCACGTATCTCACTCAGGTAGGAAGCACGTCCCCTCCAGAAGGTCCCCTAATACATCTGCTGCGACGCGTGCACACCTGCAGCCGTGCCAGGCCTCACTTCCCCACCCTCTTCCCTTCCCCAGGGGGTCTGTCCCATCGACTCACAGGCACTGACACAGCCCAACTTTCTGCCCGGTTGCTGGGGCTCTCCTGTCGCCCTCCGCTCACATCTGAGCTTATTTCTGCAAGTACCTAGATGCTCCCCTCACATCTCCCTCCCAGGACTGGCTCCTCGCGGTTTTCCCTGGCATGTCCCTGAAGTGCCGCCTTACTGCCCACTGCTACGGGTGTCCCGCTTTCCCAGATGTGCTCCTGGGGGCCCCCTGCTCCAGGGCAACAGAGAGCACCCTCCCACCCCATGCAGCCCTCTCTCATGAGGACCGCTTCCTTTGGGGCTGGAGGTCTTCAAAGAGCTCTCCAAGAGAGTAACGGGAGCACCCTGCTCCAGTTTGGTCGGACACACAGTGCTAAGTGAAAGCTGTTTTCCCCGGAAGTTATAAAGCACCTGGCGTGGGGCAGGTCTGATTCTCGTCTCTTTGCCGGGAACACTGGGGCAGCAGAGCATCCTGTGAACCCTGTCCTGGGTTCACACTGTGAGAGCTAGTCTCCGCTGACCTTAGAAGGTTTCTTCAGCATGACGTGCTGAGGATGGCACGGTCTGTCCTCTGCGACACTCAAGTGTCTGCCATATAGCTAGTTACAAGGGTCCACAGAGATGCGTCGTTTCCCTCCAAGCCAAAGCCTGCAGACAGGTGGTCCAGGGCCCTGGGTCAGCTCCACAGCCAGCAAGGGCCAGGGATTCTGTCTTGTTGCTTGGCCAATCCCAAACATGGTTCCCCTTATGGTCCAGGTGGTTGCACAGGCAGAGAAGGGAGTTCTGCTGTGCTCTCCCTGGCTGGACTCTGTCACTTGGCCATAGCACCAGCAAGGCTCGGGAAAGGAAGCGTGTTTCCCCGGACATGGGCTACCCGAGGCCTTCAGCCACACCCAGCAAGGAGCTCCCCTTTAGCCTCCTCACCTCGTCTTCCTCCCAGGCTCCCCTTAACTGCATCTTCCAGGCTCCTTGTTAAAATTTAAATCTTCCACTCGCATGTTTCATTTCCAAGAGCACCTTCAAGTTCTCAGATGACCCCTTTCGGTACTGCTGGCTGCACGGGTCTTGCGAGGGATCACTCCCGCTCATCTCCAGAGCACCCCTCACAGGGCGGCTTCCTGCACACTCACCCATTCTCCAGATGGGCGCCGTCCATGAGCTGGCGCGGAGCAGAGTCGCCAGCTCGCTGAGGCTGTCCCTGCCCTTCCCCAGGTCTCTGACTCGCTTCTCTAGGTCGTATGCTAACTTGAGATCTTTTTGGTAAATTACAATCTTAAAGGAAAACATCCGCTTTGTCTTAGTTTTCAGATTTATTGACAGAACTTGTTTTAATATTGCTCACAATTTTTAAACATTTCTATCTGTCTCTTTCATTTACTATCTCTGATTTCTTCTATCTTTTTAGTTCAAAACGGTTTCACATTCACAGAGAGTTGCCAGAAGCTGCCCTCCCCAACTCTGCAGCCTGTCTGTCCACCGTGCCTGCACGTACACAGACGAGCGGCTCTAGCTCCTGGCGGTGAGAGCACCCCCAACCCCGAACCCTGGCTACTCTGCTCCATCCTCTGACCTTGTCACTGAGACGAGCAGAAGCACACAGCACGGAGCCCCCACGCGCCAGCCGCATCGCACATGCTCCTCCCACGGCCCAGGACACTCGGGCGCCCCCGTGCTGCCAAGGCCACCGGCTTCTTCTGCTTCCAGGGAGCAGGGCCACGGCCACACTCGAGGGCAGGATTCAGCGGACACTGAACTTCGCCTTTCTGGGGCAGACACCAGGGGTGTCACCGGCAGGCACATCATGGCATGTGCCTGCTCCAGAAGGACCACAGCCGGCTGGTGGGTGACACCTCATCACGTTCCTACACAACTCCAACCCCACCGGGTCCCAAGGTTTCTGTCAACTGCACCGGACCCTCAGCTGCCCCACCTCCGCCCCCTCCTGACCTGTCCCCTCCTGCTGCGTTAGGACCCTCTGGGTCTTCTAGACTTTCCCCAAAGCTGCTCCCGGAGCTGTCAGCTCCTCGTGAGGCTGCAAGCCCAGTCTTTCTCTCTGCCCGTGTCCTTGGTCCTGGGACAGACATGCAGCAGTAAACGAGTCCTGGGGATGACTTGAGGCCCGGCCAACAGGCCTTTCCTGGGCAGAGGATTGTCTTTTGCTCCTACCGGCACCCCTGGGACAGCAGGGTCCCCATTCAAGGCTTGCTGTGGCGGCTACCAGGCTGCACGGTAGGCAGTATGTGGGCACAGCTGCGTCCCATCCATCCTGGCGCCAGGACCCAGACCCAGACCCAGGGCGTCAGCTCCGCTTCCAGAAGGGCAGACACCCCAGGCCTAAGGTACTTGACTGCCAGCCAGGGACAACCTGGGAGACCAAGGCGGGACCAGATGACACAGCTCATCGGCCCCCACTGCTGTCGGCCTCATCCATGGCACCAGGCTCCACACTCTAGGAACATGTGGTTACAATGGCAGTGGCTCACAGAGCCACAGAGTAGCCCTAGGTCCACGTCAGCAGGGGGTATGACGGGGACCCAAGTCTTGGTGGCCTGGAAGCCACGGAGGCACACGCTTGAGACCCTGCCCAACTCGCTCCCCCGAGCACCCCGCACAGTTACCTTCTCATGGATCTCCTGCGTGGACTGCGCATCACAGAAGGCCACCGTGGCCACGTCCTTCAGGATGGGCATCTCCACTGTGCAGTCCCGGCCATCGAGCAGGGCCACCAGGGGCCGGGGGTGCATGGGCCCGTTCATGATCGGGGGTCGGACACCTACAGAGACAGGAGTGATGCTCAGTGCCCATGGTGGCCCCAGCAGAGACCTCGCTTCCCCTGCTGCCCACCACCACCCATGGCCCCACAAGTCCCAAGTGTCCACCCATCGGGATCTTGTCAAACCTGAGTAAAAACACCTCTCCTAAAAGCCAGCCCATGTCAGCTACGGCTCACCGACCCCAAGTGAACAAGGACCCCAGCCGACCGGCACCCCCGCCACAAGACTTGGGGCCCAGCCACATGTGGAGGTGCCAAGGCAGCCCTGCGCCAGGATCTGGACAGTCTTGACCAGGCACACGCAGACTATGACGTCACCGGCTTCCAGACAGCACCCACTGGCCCTTTTCCATCCGCAGCTGCCACATGGCTGCCCAGAAACACTGATGGGACCATCGCCCAGGCCCGGCACCCTCTTGTGCACAGAAGGTACAGAGGTGGGAAAGGGCTAAAACACGGGGGACGCAGCTGGAACCCCCGACCTGCCTGGAACAAGATAGCAACAACCAATAGCTCCTTCCGTAGGAGAGGTAAGCCTGCCCTGACCTGCACCAAGCGGATACACGAGGCCTCCCAGGTGACCAGACCCACGGCCTCGCCAAGACCAGCCCAACCACCGCACAGGCAGCCCACCCACGCAGGAGAACAGGAGCAGGAACAGCGGGCTGCCCGGGGCCCGGAGCCCAGCTGTGGCCTCCCCGCACCCCGGGCAGGAGGTTCACCCTCCGCCACTTGACGGGCACAGACCTGGCAGCCCCGCTGGCGGCTCCGTGCGGGCCCCTGTGAGGCCAGAACACCTCCTGGGCCGTGTCCCCCACTCCCTGGCGAGCAAAGTGATTCCTGCCCCTGCAGGGTGACGGGTCACCCACAACCGGGCAGACAACATGGGAGTCCTGTGTGTGGGGACCGTGCCACTCCTCTCCCTGGCCTTCCTCAGAGAACGGCGATGTTTCGTGTGGGAGGGTTATCTATATGCTCGGAGCGCGCCGATCATCACTGCTTCTGAGTGAACTGGAAAATGCCTACCACCGCGTCCTTCGGCTTCAGTTTCTAGAGAACACGGCCTGATGGACCGCCTGTGAGGGGAGCTTGTGGCACAGCTACGAGGCTGTGAGAAAGGCTGTAGCATGTGGGGGGAGCTGCCGCCAGGTACGAGACACCCCCAGCCGCCAGAACCCGCCGTGACCCACTGGGCAGCGTACAAAAGGATGCTGCCTCCTGACCCCAAAGTCGGCACCAGAACAGGCCTCGGGTTCCTATGGTAACACGGAGCTCACGGGAAGACTACCAGAATAGACCTACTGGCAACCTGTGAGGCCTGGCCCACCAGTGGCTTCAGGCCTCCGTCCGGGACCCCCAAGGAACTGCTGTATTCTGCTGCCTGGGGGGGGGGGGGCTCACTGTGGCCGGCGTACCGCAGGGTGTGTTGCTGCCCTGACCCACCGCACTCACCACAGGGAGAACCCGGAGTCCACCGGCCCCTTCCCGGTGCTCGGGCCGCCCTGCGCTGCACGGACATGAGTGCCGCGCAGTCTCCAAGGGACTGGCGTAGAGCGGCTGCACGCTCCAGGAGCCCCTACCAACCTGACATTTCTTAATATGGGCTCGGCTTCCACGACCATGAATTCGACTTTTCAAAGCGTTTTATCTTCAGAATCCCCGGGCAGAACCGCGTCCTGTCACTGGATCCTCATCCCACGTCTTTAATTGTCTCGAACCAAAGCTCTTAGGCTCCTGATCCGCAGCAACCACTGAAGCCTGCACCAGGGTCAAAGTCTGACTAAAAATTAAACACAAGAGACACGTTAAAATCCATCCAGGGCCAACAGGAACTTGTAGACGCCAGAAGGTCCACAAGGGGGAAGCTTCTCGCTGCATCTCTCTGTGGCCAGGCTGGGACCCGCGAGTGAGCAGGAGCCACCCCCAGTAGTCTGAGCAGACAGCGGGGCACAGCCAGGGTGCAAGTCTCCCTCCAGAGGCCTGGCCCCAAGGTCCCCTGCAAGGACTCAGGAATCCCGCCCCAGGTGCCACCAGTGTCCATGACGTGTGAGGTCTGTGGTCAGCTCCACACATTAGTACCTCTCTGCCGACAGCCTCCTGGGCCTGTGACCGCGCAGGGAGAGGGGACTGCAGATGAGGCTTCCAGGAAGGACCAGGGGAGGCCAAGTGGGACACAGGCCCCCCTGGCCAGTCCCTGTAGGCCACATCCCAGGGAGAGGCACTCAGCTCAGGCACAGCTCGCCTGACAAGGCACAGAGGACACGCATGCACACGGGTCACACACCTGTCAGGGATAGGCTGAGGTTTCAGGAGCGCTCCAGATCCACGCCAAACATGGGACCCCTGCTCCCAGCATGAGGACCCCACACCTGGGCTGGCCCCCAAGGCGAGGCTAGACACCACACTGACCAGGACCCACACCACCACCAGCGTGTACCTCAGGAGCCCCAAACAGAGCAGGAACATCACAAGGGTAGGAGGCTGCACGGATGGACACGGGGGTTAGCTGCACCCCGCCCCCAAATGCTGGCCACATGGAAACTGGGCAGACGAGCCCCCGCAGGGACCGCCCTGCAGCCCACGCAACCCGGGCAGACCCCTGCTGCAAGCAGCATGTCCACACCTAGGGTGGGTGTCCCGCCGTCCTGCCCTGCAAGCCTGAACTCCTGAAGGCATGATTTCTGACTGAGCTCCTGTCCCTGCCCCAGTGCGCATGTGCTTGAGAACCCACACTGCAATTGGGCTCAACCAGACAGGACCCAGACTGGCTTGTGGGGAAGCCAAGGCCAGGCCAGCCATGTGCAGCCGGCAGCAACGCCAGGATGTGTGGGGGTGCGGGGCAGGAGGGCAGCTATGTGTGCTGGGCGTCTCGGGCCCAAGCTGGGGCCAGTCTGAGCGCTTCTCCCCTCAATTCCTTCTGTGGGTTTCAAGCACCCATACTCCTGACCAGCTCCCAGGTGGCTGAGTACACTGGCTCTCTGCCAGGACATGGATGGCTCACAGGCCTTTATCCCTGTGATGGGCTCCACACTGGGCCACCTGGTCAGAGGGCACTGAAGTCCCAACATGGGAGGAAGGGGTCCTGACAGGTGGCCCAGGGTCCGCAAAGACCCTCAGTTCCATGAGGCTGCGTGCCGAGGCCCTTCCCTGGGGCTGGGCCAGACTGCCCAGGCCAGCATCCCGCTCCCATGCCCCTCCACAGCTTGCCAGAGCTGACCACCGGGCAGGGACCACTGGCCAGCTCAGGCCTGGCCAAATTGGCTCTGTCCTGTGCTGTTGGGGGCTGAGCTGTTCCCTCTGTAAGAAGAGGGACCCTCCCTCAGTACAGGATGTCGGAGCCCCTTCTCTCCCTGTCACTGCAGTCATAGCTAACAGTCCTTCACGGGCAGGTGAGCGGCAATGGGTGGGCTCTTGGCAGGGGACCGTGACATGCTCTGCCCAGGTCAGACCCACACCAGTGCTACTCTGAGGTCAGGCACAGATGGCAGGAAGGGGCTCGAGGCCCCAAGGGCCTGAACCCTCCTGAAGCACATGAACTTCTCCTCACAAACTTATAGCTTCAGGATACCTGGCTCAAGAAAATATAAAATGTGGAAAATCGTCCGTGATGGACCCTCCTTTAACTCTGTTCCACAAAGAACATGCCCGACAAGCCACGAAACAAGACGCGTCGCTCACACCTCATGACGCAGGACGGGGTGCTCTGTGACAGGATGACGCCCCTGAGAGCTCTCAGGGACCCTCAGGGACTGTCCGGCCCTGGCCTCTATGGGTGTAGGAAGTGGCGGCAAGTGCGAGGTGTCTGGACAGGGAGCGGGCAAGCTGGCCGCCAAGGACACAGGCCACCCTAAGGATGTAGGCCTCAGGTCAGGGGTCAACCAACCTCAGCCCAACAAAGCACTCTGGTCTGGCTGGCTGGCCCAGCTTCCTCAGGGCTTCCCACCCCCACACAGCGGCGAGCACCCTAGAGCAGGCCCCACGGGAACCCCACGCTGCCAGGTGCCTGCAGACGGTAAGGGAGGGTGGACACCAGCTGCAGAAGACTGGGGCTGCGACAAGGCAGAGGCAGGAGAGAGCGCCACAGAACCCCAGGCCCTACAAGCCAAGTCTATTCCATCTCGCCAGGTCTCCGCGCTCCTCGGCTTTCCGGCACTGGCCCCACACCTACTCCAATGGCAGCCACAAGACAGCAGTCGCCTCACGCTGGGCAAGACCACAGCCATCCCCTCCACAGAGCCCAGGGCGCTCAGCCTTCCTCAGCCTGGAGGGCCCTGTGCATCATGCTCAGCACGTGCAGACGACAGAGAGTTTGGAAGGGGTCACACCAACCACGCGGTCACGAGGCTTTCTGCAGTTTTCTTCCTAAATCCTAGAGAAGGATGCACCAGGCATGCCTGACAGCAACCAGAGTCCCCGGCTGAGTCCTCCATGGTCGGCGTGGCCCCAGCAGACAGCACATGCCAGTGATACGTGTACAGATGGCGGTCTTCTTCGCATCTGCATGCTCATTCCCGCTGAGGATAGGGAGAACCAGAACCCTTAGGCATGTGAGGCATCTCCCCACGTGCTCGACCTTGTCCCCAGCTCACCTTTCTCGTGAAAATGATTTCAAAAAGAAGCATTACTTTGCCAACAGCTGACCGAGGTTCAGAAGCGCACAAGCAGCCTAATGGGCCAGGGTGCGTCCCAGGCTGCCTTCCCAGGGGTGGTGACATGTGCCCACCCAGGGGAGCGCAGGCAGCCGTGGAGCCCCAAGGTCAGGTCACAGGTTGCAGGACCCAGCGTGCAGATGCGTGGTGATTCCAGGCCCAGGTTGTACATACACAAAGGTGAGCCTGGCTCTTGCCCATCCTGGCCCCAGGGCCCCAGAGACAGCATGACCACATCTTAGGGAGGGGGAAGCTGAGCCCAGCCCAGCAACAGCAAGTGACATGGGACCCTGCCATCCACCGGACTGTGCCGGACAGCGTGAGACGAGTGACAACAAGAAGCATCTGGGCTAGTGCTGGGGGGCGTGGAAACGCCACGCGCTGCCTCGCTCCTGGAAAACACCCAACAGAAGCCCTGTCAGGCAACCTCACGGTGCAGAACAACCACGGACACAGGCGGTAGCCGGGTACGGCGAAGGACAATGGTAACACGTGGGGTGGCCATCACCCAGACGTGGAGGGAGGCCCCCGCATGCAGTGTGGGGGTTAAGGACATGGCTGGGGGGACAGGGCCTCATGGCCAGCAGGCCACCGGAACCTGCCATGGGTCTTCTGGTCACCGCTGCCCAACCAGGCCTGAGGTTTTCACTGAAAGCATCTTTTCTCAAGCATTTGCACTGCACGCCTAACCATCTGTAAGACAGCTTTGCCCTAAAGAATAAAATCACAAGAACTAAAGGACATTCGTTAAAATGAATGTAATAAAACACAAAAAACAGACAAGAAAATCATAGAGAAGTTACTGCAAAATGCTTGCTATTTGAACACATTTAAACTGTGGAGGGCAGGTTCGGGTGGTCCCAGCTAACAACTGGCTGCATTCTGCACCCACCCCCCAGGCAGCAGGTGTTGCCCCTGTGAACCCCAACAGGAGCACAGCCATGGTGGCTCAGACCCACACCCCAGGAGGCCATCAGGGGGCTACACATTACAGAAGATCCAAGGGGCACCCTGCCCCCCCACAAACAAAACAGAAATGCCCCACAGTCAAGGAAGCCGATACAGCTAGAGTCTGTAGTCATTTTCTTCCAGAGCAAAATGCCCTGCAGGCAGTTAGGGACCCGGTACTCATGCCTGCACCTCCGGGAGGCCAGGCCTCTGCTCACCGTCTGCCCCCAGGGGATGGCCCACATTTACAAAGGGACAGCTGATAGGCGGACCCTGGGTTGGCCTGTGGCCCTCAGCTCCACTCCACATCTCCCAGGTGCCTGTCCCACAGCCGCTGACATGAGGCTCCTGGGAGCCACCTGCTCCAAACAGCCAGCCCGAGAGCCCCTCGACCAGGGATGGGCCTGAGTGTCAGGGGTGGGGCTCAGAAACCAGCCTGGGGGACTGGGAGGGTGGGATGCAGGGTGGGTGTCTCATGCCTGTGGCAGGCTGCTGTTGCCCCAGCCCTTCCCCCAGGGTTCCTCTCTGGCCACCTCCGGCCCAATTCTGATGTCCCACTCTGGGTGGACACCTGGGCTGCTCACAGCTTCACCGGAAAAGGGGCTCATGGGCACCAGCTCCACACCTCGCAGGCACAGGGCACACAGCAGCTCCAACACCCGCAGCTCACAGGGAGTGACTGAATCCTGACCACCGCATTGACACGTGCACAGGCTTTATTCCCTTATGATAAGCTGTGCACTGAGAGGTGGTGGCCCTGGGGGGCTGGGTGCCCACGGAGGAAGGTGACCAAGCACACACACCTGCACCCCTACAACTCAGTAAGGTGGTGGGGGAAATGCAGCAGTCAGCATGGCTGGCGACACAGGAGGCCCTTGCGGGGAGGTAGGGCATGGGGCGGCAGCAGGACCCCAAACGTGGGCACAGAATTTCAGGTCAGACAGGCAAGTGCTGGTCTGGCGGCAGCGGGAGGGGTCCCACTGCTAGGGGGCAGCTGCCTTCAGCATCTTCCTGCCAGTCTAGAACTGGTCTCAAAATTCATTTTAAAGACAACAGGCAAGGGAAGGGACCTGCAGCCCCCCAGGGCCTCCCCACCGGTGACTGGGCGATTAGGCGGAGCTCTCCTCGGCTCAGCCCCACCCCCCGACCCCCAGAAGGATTGGGGATGCAGCTGGCACACTCTGCAGACACCCGAGGAGTTTCCCCCTCCCCAGACCAATCACAGCAGCTCGCTGGCACCTACACCAGCAGGAACCCCTGGGGGGTGCTGAGAACCCAGGCCCGCCTGATCTTGGGATCCCATCCCTGGCTGATCAAGCCTCCCCCTTGCAACTCTGACAAGCGTCCACACTCAACACCCAGAATTTGCCCCTAGAGTGCTCCCTGATGCTTCTCCAGCCTCAGAAACTAGGCCATCTCCCACCTGCTCGGGCCCCAGACTCCAGTCTCCCAAACCCCAGAGCAGCGCCCCACCCCCCAGTCAGAGGCTTCAGAAAGGAGACCCAGAGCTCGTCACACCCTCAGCATAAACACGGAGTCCTTAGTATGGCTGGCCCCTGCTAGCCCTTCCCTCCACCTCCACGAAGCCAGGCCCTCGGCCACAACAGGCTTCCCATTATAGCTCACAGCCTCCGAGGAAGGGGCTCTGGAAGAGCCGGTGGCAGGGAGACATCACTCCCTGCTGTGTGGGAGCATTTCCCAGAAGACAAGGAGCTCTGCTCCCTGCTCCCTCGGGTGATGGGCTGACGGCCACTGGCACAGCGCTGTCCCCTTAACTCATCGTGAACCAGCAAGGCACTCACTCCCCCACACGTGAGTAAGTCTACTGCAGACGCATCTTCTCATCCCAAGACACCCACATGCCCTTCTCTCGCACTATTACGTGTGTGCACACGTGTCCTGCTAGCCTGGTGGTACCTCAAAATCCCACGCCCGAGAACCTGGGGCTGAAGGACCATCACCTTCCTGCCCTCTGCGTGTGACATTCAACAGCTGCTGCGAGGAGACCCCAAGTGGGGACGCGTCTCCCAAGGCCGGGCCTCCTTGCACCACACAGACGTCACAGACTCAGGAAGACCAGAATCAACGGCTCCGCAGCCCAAAGTAGGCAGCCTAACAAGGGGCCCGGGGGTAAGGAGCGGGGGTCCGACAGGCCAGAGTCCATGCCTGGGGGTGTCCAAAAAGTGGCCCCACCCGCACTAGGATTTCTTCTCAACTGTCCCAAGTTCCAGTCCTACCAGGTGGTCACCGTCCTCCCAGCCCCAGTTAGGGCCAGACTGCAGGGCTGGCAAGGACATAAAGGACCCCCCCACCGCCAGGGGGCCACAAGAAGAAACTCAGCATGTGACGAGAAGTCCATGAGCTCTCTGGCTCAGCAGAACATTGGTGCCCCCCTCAGGACATCCGGGGGCTCGTCGGGGCAGACAAGCACAGGCCCCACGCCAGGGCACAGCCGGTGGGCAGATCCACAGCTGAGCTTCCGCAGACAGTAGTAACATGGGATGTGAAGTTGCGTTTGGGACCTGGAGGCAAGTGCATTGCGGCCTGCCCCCGACCCATGCAGATGACGGTGTCAGGGCCAAACACAGCCTCCCCTCCCCCAGAGCCTGCCATGGGTCCTCCTTCACACCACCAGTGCAGGGAAACCAGAAGTCTTCTAAAAAGACATCTGTCACAGGATAAAAAGCCTCTCCTCCACACCCAAGAGCTGCAGGCAGCCAGCAACCAGCCGTGCTCTAGCTGCTCAGACCTGGCAACACCCCAAGGGCACTGGCACAGGGTGCTCCAGGGTAGGTGAGAGGCCACAGCAGAGAAAGACCATGTCATGGGCCCAGTCCTCTGCTCATGGCTGGCTGGCCACAGGAAGTCGCTGCCAATCTCAGCTTCCACCGGGCTGGTGGAGCGCGAAGGCCAGACTCACTTCTGAGCCCCAAGGGCCCTTCTCCTACAGGGATGTGCTCAACTGGGGTTCCCCCAGTGAACATCTGACAGCTCACCCCATGGCCAAGCCATGTGTACACATGGATAGAGAGAGGGCGGCTCCAGCCTCCCAGGGCATGGGGTTCTCAGAACAGTTAGCAGGACCTCAGCAGCTCTGGGCTTCCAGGCGCCCACCCCTGTGTGTCCTCAAACTCAAGAGGCTGTAAGGGAAACCCCAAATGCAGCCAGGAGAGGGGGTCCAGGGCTGAGACAAGTCACTCCAGCCACAATTTCATTTCTCAGAGAGAGGAGGCAGCAACCCGTCCAGGCAGAACAGGCTGGAACCGCACAGACACCCCCAAGGGGGCTGGACGGGACATGCCTGCACACAGCAGACGCAAGTGATGCCCCAGGTGTGTGTCTCTCCCAAGATCTCATAGAGATGCCCAAAGCAAACCATGTGCTCAAAGATAGTGCTAAAACCCAAGTGAGAAGAAACCTGGAAAGCCAATGGAGCAGAGCACATAGCAGGCACCGCCAGGGGCTGCAAGGAGGGGGGACAGACCAAAGCCCAGGTCCAGAGAGAACCCTCCATGGCCAACTTTGGCAAAACTCTGAAGGGCAGAGAGAAGACGAACCATAGATGCCACGTATAGCCAGGATGTCTTCCAGGGACAGCAGGACAATGATGGTGAGCACACACAGCAGCTACGGAAAGCACGGGACCCTCACCCTGACCCTGTCCCCACCGTGGCCCTGACACCAGACTCCAACACTTGGTAGATGCTCACTTGTGATCCTAGATGGCTTCACATGGCCATCTTCACCTTACAGACACTGGTCAACGACTTGGCTGGGATATCCCAGGGATAGGCTTGGGTCTGTGTTTTGACCGTCTCTGATCACTCCCCCAAGAACCTTGGGGATGCCTCCCCACACAAGAGCAGATGGCCTGCGAGGACCCCAGGGTGGGTGTGCACAGATCCAGGTGCCTCCAAGACCTGCAATGCTGGAAGCCAGCCACTCCCAAGAACTCTCTTGTGTATGTTTTTATACAAACGAAGTCACTGCTCCTGAAGGGGAGGCTGATCCTGGAAAAGGGGATGTGGACATTCCAGCCACCCCAAGAAGTGGGAGCTGAGTGAGGATTTCATGTCTGTGAGTACTCTATTCAGACTAACCGGAAGAAAGCCAATCCTGTTCAGCTTCTGGATGGCAAATGGCTCCTCTCTCCCCCATCCAGAAGGTTAATTCTGTCCTAAACCACGGGGAAAATGATCGCTACAAAAGGGTCTGGCTGCTGGCCAGGTTCCGGGCTTCTCCAAGATGCTGCCAGCGTGAAGGCCGTCCTCCCGGGCATGCCCAGAGGTGGTGCCCTCATTTCTCAGCAGGCGGGCAGAGGACTGGGCAGGGCACCCAGCCAGAGAAAGATCTAACCTCCAACGCGGAGGCTCAGGTGTGGCTGCAGGGAGCCCCAGGCTCCGACGGCCAGGCAGAGGGGAGGAAGAGGAGGAGCGGCGGCCGCGGGCCCACCCAAGGCCGGCCCCTCCCCGGCCGCCCCCGGGAGCGCCCCTGTGGACGAGGCCCCAGCCCGGACAGCTGGAAGTGGACCAGGAACTGCAAGATGGCCCCCGACGCTCGGGCTCGACAGGGGCACCAGGCACCGAGCGGGCCAGCGAGCCAGGACCCACCCGGCGCGTCCCCCGCTGGCCCGCCGCCCCCAGTCGCAGGCCCCCCGTGTGGTCCGGAGCGGCCGCCAGGGGCGCGGTCACCCTTCAGGACACCGAGGGGGACAGCTGCTGTGGGGGCAGCAGAGCCGGGGCCACCGCTCCGAGCAACTGCGGGGGCGACGGGAGAGCCAAGGGCGCGCGCGGCGACTAGGGCGCCGAGCTGGGATGCGTGCGCCCGGGCCGCCCTCCCCACCAACGCGGCCTCCTGATTGTAAACGTGCGGCAAACGAGAGATGCCGCGGTGCGAGGCCGCCCGGGGGCACGCGGGGCTCGGGGCCCGCACGCAGCCCGCGCCCCGCCGGCCCACGCCGGCCCCCGAGGTGGCTCCGCACGCCGGTGCGCCGGGGCCCCGGGGAGCAGGGACGCCGGCAAAGGCCCCCGAGGCCCAGGCGGGGCGAGCCCACGCGACTGCCAGGAGCCCGGCCCCCGAAGGGTGCGCGCGGGCCTGGAGGCAGGGGGCCGGGCCCGGGAGGGGGCTGTGGGTCAGCCGGGTCCGGACGCCGGGGCGCGCCGCGAGTGTGGCGGGGCCTGGACCAGGGGTCAGGGGCCCAAGTGCGGCGCCCCTTTGTGTCACCTGCGCGGGCGGCTGCGGCGGCGGCGGAGGGCGGGCGAGCAGGCGGGCGGGGCGGGAGTGACGGCAGCGCCGGCGCACGCGCAAACACACGGCGCGGCTCGCGCACGCTCACGGTCCTCTGCAGCCCCGCCCCTGGCCCCGCCCCCGACGGCGCGCGGATGCCGGCGCGCACGCGCACTCGCACACAAAGCCAGGGCCCGCGCGCCCCCGCCCGCCCCGCCCGCCGCCCCGCCCCCGCGGCCGGAAATGCGCGCGCGCGGCCTTACCGAGCGGCAGGCCCTTGTTGAGCAAGTGCGAGCTGCCCATTGAAAGGCGCGGGCGGCCGCGGGCCCCGACGAGTCCGGCGCGCTCCGCCGCGAGCCCGGCGCGTGGGGCGGCCTGGGCGCCGTCCGCTGCTCCGCCCGCTCGCCTGCGCCCGGGCGCCGCCGTGCCGAGCCGCGCCGCGCCGCGCCAGCAGCCGCTCCACCGGGCGGGGACAGGCGGCGCGCGCGCGGGCGGGGCTTCCGGCCCAGCAGTCTCCTGTTTCCAGGCGCGGGCGCCGCGCTTCACGACGCGGGCGGCTGCAGGCCGCGCCCGCCCGCCCCGCCCGGGCAGCGTGGCTCTCCTGCCAGCCGCGCCTGCCCACACCTGCCTGCGTCCGCACAGAATCCTGCCCCGCACCCGGGCTCACGCTCGCGCGCGCGCGCACACACACACACACACACGCACCTGCCCCGCCACCACCGGGCCCCACTTGCCCGCACACATATACACACGTGCACCTGCCACGCACCTGCCCTGCAACCACAGGCCCCACCTGCCTCGTGCGCGCGCACACGTACACACGCATCTGCCCCGCACTGGGCCTACCTGCCCACACATATATATACACACACACATACCTGCTGCAGAACCGCACACCCACACAACCATCCATCTACACACTAACCATAGACACACATTCACCAGGCCCCATCTGCTCGACACCTGCTGAGCCTTAACCGCCAGGCTGCACCTGCCTTACCCCCGCATCCAGGGCAACCCGGGCGTGGTGTGTGACCCGCATCTGCCCCATACCTCGGAGTGCTTCCAGGCAGGGATCATTTTAATGTACTGGGCCACCGCGAGAAGACACAGCAGGTGCACAGCTGTTGGCCTTCGGGCTCTGGGCCCATGCAGGGTCACAGGAGGCCGTAGCAGGGATCCCAGAGGGTTTCTTTGGGCAAACCTGGCCTTATGCTTGGATTCCTGGGGCTCAGAAGGAGGTGCACCCCTGGTTGGGAGGCCCCAGGGTGAGCCACCTGATCCTGCAGAGAACACAGTGGCCAGAAGTCAGCATCAAGTAGCCTCAGCAGGGACTTCCTGATCCCAGTGGTCCCTCAGAGGTGGCCAGATGTGGCTGAAGCAGGGTCCCCAGCGCTCCCGCCATCCCCGCCCCAAGCAACCTATGCTTCATTCCAGAAAGGCACCAGTGGAAGGGCCATGAGAGTTGCCCTGGGGTGGGAGCTAGCCAGGCCCCTAGGGTGAGATGATGGGGAGATGGAAAAGGGACTGAGGCCAGCCCTGGCAGACCCTGATCCTGGGAGCTGGAGTGTTCTCAGGTGACAGTGAGCATAGGCAACATAACTGTCATTTCAGGTGAAAACACATTAGCACATGACACTGTGACACTGCGTAGCTAGCACTGACCTACTGTACTGCTCACTGGGACACAGGGAACAATCCTGAAATCCTGTTATCAATCCTGCTATTGTTTTTTAAATTCTAAAATTGAAAAGGAAGCTTGGGTGGATTCAATCAAAGGTAATAGGGAACTGGATATCTATTTGCAAAACAAATGGTTTTAAACCTTATTTCGTACTCACATACGAAAATACCTCTCAAATCGGATTAACTAGAACACCGGGGAAATGAAAAAAACAGGGTACAAGTGCACATTTAGCAAATGTCTCAGAGAACTTTCCTAAACGCAGGCTCAAAATGAGTCACAGGGGACAGATCAAAACTCCAGAACTGGGTGCATGTCTTACCCACATCTCCCTCACTTCCTCAGGCTGTGGTCACTCATTTAACAGAGTCCAGGACCAGAGCCTTTGACATGGCCTGGACCAGCAGCTCCAGCTCCTCCTGTCCTGTGCTAAGACCCATGGTGCCCCTCAATGCCTATCCCCTCCATCTCACTCTCACGCAGCCCAGAGTCATAGGGCATGGCTTCTTACCCGAGAGGGGCCCTAGAATGTAAAACTGGTGCTGTCATCCCTTGCTCAAATCCCTTTGTGGCTTCTCATGAACCAAACAGGAAGTCCAAGCTTCTTATCACAGAGAGCCCTGGGTCCGGGCCACCTAACCTTCTTCTAACCTCCCTTTCATCCTTCAGTTAGGAGTCCCTCCCTGCCTACTATGTCCCAGCCATATGGCCCTTCTTCCCCCTGGCCACAGGACCTTTGTACATGCTATTTCCGCTGCCTTCCCCTGCTCTTCCCTCCTTACCCTCTTGCCTGGTAAGGAAATTACCTTTCTGTCTGAACTTTCTCCCAGCCATACTGCCAGCTCCCTGGAGGCAGGGGTTTTTGCTCCCCTACCCCCATGTATTTGAGGTGGGACCCTGCTCAATGGAGATGTGAAAAGAAGTGGCGTGCTCTTCCAAACATGCCTATGCCGTGCTGCATGCCTCCCCTGTCCTCAGGACTGGCCAAAGGCACCAAAGCCAACTCCGGGAGCCCGCCACCCTGATGCCTTCCACCCCCGGTCACCACTCACTCCCCATCTTTGCATATGACCCTGAAGACCCTGAATTACCTTCAGAGAACTGGCCTGAACACAAGGACCTGAGATGGGCAGATGAGAAGGCCCAAGGGAAGTTCATTCCTGCCCTGGGTGTCCCCACCACAGCCCACAGGGTGGACCCTGATACTTAGGACAGTACACACCCTACCCTGCCTGGCCCAGGAAACTGTCCCCTCCAGGTAAAGCTCCCTCTCCCCAGAAAACTCACCACCTGGAAGGACAGGATGGGAAGAACGCCACCCCTTTGCTCCTCACAAGAAGCGCTGGGGCTGGGTTTACAGCCAAAGTATGCCCTGGTTATTCAGCTCCACCTTCTGTTGAAGCAAACCCAAACACAGACTCCGCTGTGACTGCGAAGGACAGCCCCAAGCCCAAGAAGACTAGCCTGGGTTCCTCTTTGGGAAAGAGGCCAGGCCCACCCCACCAGTCCATGGAGATGTTGCCTGGCGGTCAGGCTCCTTTCCTTAAGGAATTTCAGAATTTTTTTTTTTTAAGATTTTATTTATTTATTTATTTGACAGACAGAGATCACAAGGAAGCAGAGAGGCAGGCAGAGAGAGGGGGGAAGCAGGCTCCCTGCCGAGCAGAGAGCCCGGCATGGGGCTCGATCCCAGGACACCGAGATCGTGACCTAAGCTGAAGGCAGAGGCTCAACCCACTGAGCCACCCACGCGCCCCCAGAGTTCTGGTACCTTCCCTAACACCACTCTCCACGGCCTTGTCAGTGTCTGATCATGGCTCCAATGTGGCCCCAGACCCCAACCCTCCATCCCCAGGGGCTTTCTTCAGTTACTGTTACTAGATCTGCAGTGATTCCCACGCAGAAAAGAGGCAGCCCAGCTTTGTGCAGGCCCTGCCTGACTCTCTTCCCTCCATCTGCGCACCCTCCCCTTCCGGGCGTGAGTGTTTGGGCCTACCAGCCCGCTTCTGTGCCCAGGTCTGTCCTGGGCCTGCCCAGGGCAGGGACCCAGTCCCCGTTGCCCTGCAATGGATGCAATTGTCCCCGGAGCTGCTGAGGAGTCCCCTCAGTGAGAAGCCAGGGCCCAGAGCTCTGGTCCGGTAGCACCAGCTTCAGCCCCTGGGGGACGACCTGGAAGAAACCACGTCCACAAAGAGCCACTAACATGTGGATGATTCTTCGTGGAGCTCCGCGTTCGTGACCTTGCATTCCACATATTTGTGAGTCTCTTGTGGTCACGTGTGGAGGCAGAACCCCATTCAAAGCGTTCACACGGGTTGCCACTGGGAAGATGGGAACATCCACTCCCCTTGCCGTCACTTCTCATTCTGGCACAGACACTGGGGGCAGCCACGTTTCACCCAGGGCCTGGGGTGCAACCTAAGACTGTGCTCATTGGCCAATAAAGCCGGAGCTTTAGATCCTGTGTCCCTGGAAATTCTGAGGCGACAAAGCAGCTACAGTAAGAAACGGTGGGAAAACAGAATCACCACGAGCTGCACTGGAGACAGGAGTAAGCAAGTCCCGTGGCAGCCGGGGGCTCTGTCCGTGAAGGGTCTGTCTTCAGCCCAGGTCATGATCCCAGGGTCCTGAGATCGAGCCCTGCATTGGGCTCCTTCATCAGTGGCAAGCTTGCTTCTCCCTCTGCCTCTCCCCCTGCTTGTGTTCCTCTCTTTCTGGCAAATAAATAAATTAATTAATCTTTTAAAAAAGGAAAGAAGTGGACAAATTCCTGCAGCATTTGTCCCACACAGACTGAGACTGTCCTGCACACTCCTAAGTCCTGTAAGCCTCGGTTATCTGCCATGAGATGGGACGGGTACGAGGCTCCACCCGCACAGGCTCAGGGAGGGCCATGGGGCCCAGAGGTCGACCTGCTGCTTTACCGGCCCAAGTCTGGCTTCCTCCATCAGCAAATGAGAACACAAGGTCACTTTTGGCAGCCTTGCTAGGCTTAGTGAGACAAGTCACAGCAACTGAAGGTGGCCTCTTTCCATAGCCTGCAGGGTTGAGGAAGGTGTGGAGGTCCTCGCCACAGGAAGCCCCTTGCTCCCAGCAACTCCCCTGGTTAGCACAATACTGACATCGGATATTCAGGGACAAAGCTCCCGAGACAAGTCACATCAGCTGAGTTCAGCAAAAACATGGAGCTTATGAGCCATTCACAGGGTTTTAGGTAAGAGAGGATGTAATAGGTTGAATTGTGTCCCCCTCAAATTCACATGTCAGAGCCCCAGTATCTTAGTACGTGACCTTACTTAGAAATAGGGTCTTTGCACACAATCAGGTTAAAATGAGGTCATTTGGGCAGGCCCCACCTGAATGACTGGGACAGAGACACAGAGAATGTCATGTGTAGGTAGATGCATTGACAAGGCTCTGGAGATTGCCAGCAAAGCCCCATGTGTGAAGGGAGAGGCAGGAACAGACTGTTCTCGGTGCCCTCAGATGGAAACACCTTGCCAACAGCTTGATCTCAGACTTCTGGCATCAAGAGCTGGGAGGCAGTCAGTTTCTGCTCTGATACCCTGTTATGATAGCAATAGAAGACTGACACCGAGGGGAAAAAGACCAGAACATGATCCCGGAAGGAAGGCAGACACAGCCTCCCATGTGTGGTGTCCCTGGTCCCTCCAGAGGGACAGGATCCTCCAGACCCTGTCCCTGCAGAATGTGCAAGTACAGGATGGAAACAGCTACCTTTCACACTATAGCTGAGCTCCCAAGGAAGTT